CCAGTTCGTGTGTAAACCCTTGACCGTCCAGCACCGTGGGATGTCCTCCCAACATAAAAGGTACTATATAAATGCAATTTGTTGTATGTTGTGTTACATGTCCAAAAATAAAGTCAGTTATACTTTCCGAAAGAAAAGCTGTAAGAATCTGTTTTATATGGAGCAAATTCACTGAGCTACTGTTAGTGTGAGGGTCCAAGAGTTATGCCATCCACAGCAATTACAACCACAATGATCTAATTCTATCCAGCACTTAGGTAATCATCTCCCCATGTCCAGATGCTTAACACCAAAGACGTTTTTTAGGAAAAAAGCTCTTGCCAGAAATACAAGAATGAGTAAGCGCTGTCTGAGACCTGGGTGCTCACCATGTTCTCTTCATACTCTGAGCAAGTTTGTAAAATAATAAATACCAAAGTTATCCAAGGTTGTTAAATGAGGGGAAAACGGAATGCAGTCAACATCTGTTCTAGTTGATCATGGACAGAAATGTTTCAGGATGTCCTAAAGCAAATCAGTAAACCACACTGCAGCAGCCCAAATATTCCTGGTTAACAAAGGGACGTGTTGTCACTGCGAGCTGCTTGCTCACTCTTTGCATTTCTTGCTCAGTGTAACTCAAACGCTCCTGCCCATCCACTCCCCTGCCCCTCCCCTCCTCGTTGTACAATTTGGAAATCAATTGCTCTGATGTTCCATCCTTCCACTTGAGGCACTGAACCCGTCTGTCTGCCTGTTCAAGTGGAATTTAAAGATCCATGCTATTATTTGAAAGAAATTTCCTCTGTCCTGGCCAACAATCCTCTACAAAAATAATTCATCATTCATTTCATAAATGATTGTGCAGGACTGCTGTGCGCAAATTGGTTGCTGGATTTGCCTATGAGTTCACAGTCACAGCACTTTACCAAGTGAAGTACTTTGAGGCATTTTTATGTGATAAGGCTCTATATTAAACATAAGGATTATTAATTTGCTTAAGGCATAGTGACTTTTACACTGCTCTTTTTTGCCAATGTGCTTGTTGTTACTCCCTGGATGGTGCCTCAAAGCAAAAACAATTATATGAGGAACACCTACAGTTTAAGCACTAATTTCAAGAAGCAAAGGTTTAAACATCACCAGGGATAGCACAGCACAGCAGGTATAAAGTTAACACAGTGACATCCCTAAAAGTGACACAATTCGGTAGTCATAATAAAAAAGGCTCTTTTCTATTACATATTTTAAATATGAAACAACAAAATGTTGAAACTCTCTGCTCCTGAATTCTTGGAAAAGGCAATGAATTCAGAGATTAATATAAAAAAATCAAAATCCTGCTTTATTGACCGGCATCTACTTTACAGACATTTCATTCTTTGATTGGCAGTCAATGTAATTGTATCCGTTTCTCTATAACCTCTTGATGGATCACGACATACTAGGTGGCTCTAGGGCAGATGAAGAGATGCATGGACTTAAACACTGTGAATTCAAATACTGCAACCTCCACTGTAAGTTCAAAGACAGATCAGTCCTGCTGCATACCTGGAAATGACAAAGAATCTAAGAGAAGACAAATTGCCTCAACTCTGCTCGCTCACGAGTAGACCACATATGTAATTTGCCAACCACCTCCCTTCCACTATTTATCCTGCTGTCTGAACACTCCCGGTTACTATGGCTATCTCTCTGTGGGCTAGTAGACTCGCAACACAATGAGAAATTCTGCCTTAGTGAGTTGTTTGCATTATTCCCTTTTCTAGCCGCTCAACCCTGAGACCCTCCAGACAAGTGGGGAGCTGTAGTGCCTCTGATTGCTAGTCAGAGTGCTGAAGTAGCTGAATTCATCTCGCTTGAAATGCTGGTGCAAGCAGCAAACAGACAGACTATCAGCAAAAACAACCATCTGAGTGCACAGACTATTGTGGTTAGAACAGGGGAATGCATTTCCTTGCTGTGGTAGATAGAACACAGAAAATACATTTTCTCATTCTTTTCCCAACAGTTTTATATGACAGCAGTACCCCAACAAAGTCCAGTTCAGCAAGCTCAATGAGGCAATATGGGTACACAATGGTTTCAAAAATGCCCACCATATGTTTGAGCGGTTTAAAATGAGATACAAAATGCTCATAAGCAACGCTTAACTTCCTGCAGCTGAGCAACATTAGTTGCAAGGACAATTCAAAACTAAACCACAGTCAGGCTCCAGCTCTCAATCTTGATGAATTTCAAGCAGCTTGCATTAATGGAAATGCTTTGTGAAATGCATGTTTCACACCTTATTACAGTGCACTCATTGAAAATCTCCATAATGCAGGATGTGTCAAGTAACCACAGCATTTGATGATGTAGGGTTGAGAACTGAACTGAAAGTGTATCATTTCAGGTAAATTGGCCAAACCATATATTTAGCTCACTTCAAACTACACCAGGGCCTAGAAACAAAGCAAATAGGCCCATTTGAAAATGCATTTTCTGAATATGTGCATCATTTTCAAAGTCTCATCATAACTGCCCTGTCCGTTTCACTGTCAGAGCAAATAAGTAACTGGTTGCTGTCTTTTCAAGCGATTTCTCGACTGCCCTGAGCCCTCGAAACATAACATAATCAAGAATAAAATGAAAGTGTTACTCTAATGGGCAGAACCTGTGCCAATGGTGAGCATACAGTCAGCTATGTGTTGCAAAATGGGTTATGTAGGGGCTTGATGCCTTCATTCTTTCACAGAAATATGATGGTTGTAAGGGAACACTCAATGCCATCCCTGTGCAACTCTAAGGGATTAGAGTTTCACATCGATGGTATCGAAGCAATTTTTAAAACCTGACTTGCCAGTTGGACTATCTATGCATTGAATTTGGTAGTCTGACAAAAATTGTTTGTAGCGCAGATTATTTAATGTTTTACTGTTCACAGCTACTGTGCATCTACAATCAGAAACAACATAAGGTAATATTGTAACATTAGAGATAAATAACTAGTAACAATAAAAGGTATTATCTAGCAACAACTTAAGAAAATATTGTAACATTATAAATAACTAGTAACCGGATAAGGAAATAATTAATAACAACATAAAGAAACATTGTAACTAGTTACATTATATAATAAATAACTAATAACAACATAAGGAAACAATTAGTGACAACATAAGAAAATATTGTAACTAGTAGCATGACAGATAACTAGTAACAACAAAATGAAATAAATAGGCACAACATAAGGAATTGACCTGTAACGTGATAAGAAAAGCTTGCTCTAAAAACGACAGATGGTTTAGAAGCAAAATACCAAAAATCAGCATTTTCCTTCCAAACCAGATACCAATCGGAGCAGGTTTCACTTATCACACTGTCGCTCTGTGTAGTAAACTGAAGTGAGTAACCAGATGTCATGTTTTTGATAATTTCACTTCTGCCATTATTAGATTTGTGAGTGTTTCAAACAGGACAACAAACAGGATTTACAAGAGTATTATGTAAACATTTTGCACCTCTGCCAGCTAATGAAGAGCAAATCTCTCTGGAATGTACTGATGTGTCTGGCGCTAGGTATCCAAAACATTCCCTCTCAGTGGGAATCTGGGGTCTGGTGATGTTTTCTGTTGCAGTGTTGATGGGAGACTTACATCAAGTGCAGTACTGTACTCCTATCAGCTTTCCAAAGTCGCTGAGGAGAAGTTCACACTTTTGTGTGATAAAGCATGAGATTAAAATAAATAAAGAATCCTTGTGAGTGAATGGGTTTATGGTTGTTGGAAGAAGTGGAGGGGGGAGAAATATTGTTGTTGAAATTTTGGATGTGTGAATCTAGTCTTGGGCACCTTGTTCAAACACAGAAAGAGAGACAAAATATATATATTTCAGATTACAGATTACCATTGCGCCTAGCTTGTCCCACACCCACTAAAAATTTACAACAGTTTAAACTGGCGGCTGATAGGATGCATTACAATAGTAATAATAATCCTTGCATTTGATGTAGCGCCTTATCACGTCTTCGAGACATCTCAAAAGCGCTTCACGGGATACACCGTAAAGTGAATTGACTGCATATTTTGTGGGCGAAACGCCAGCATCGTAGTCGATCCCACCAACAACTGTGTCAAGGCAAGTCAAGTCATGCACAGATCGACCTTTACAATCGGGCAAAACTAAATCCTTTATGCATGTGGATGAAAGCAAGTCTGTCTGCAATGTCACTCACTAACCAGCAGCCAGTCAGCCTGAGTCAGTCAGTGAGTAGTTTCCATTCTAATGACACCCCCCCACCCCCCTCCCAGCCCAAACCAGAAAGAAACTAAGCTCATTCCCCCCACCTCTCCATGACCAGACTGCTGGATTTCCCTGTTACCTTGGGAGGAATTATTTCAAATATACAAGGACATCATTCTGGGTTAATAAGAGGCAGAAATGAAATACAAAAAGCACCAAAAAGTGCACCTTCAGAAACCTTCAAACCAAAACACACTCACACACACACACACACTCACACACACTCACAAACACACACACACACACCCACACTCACACACACTCACACACACACACTCACACACACACACACACCCACACACACTCACACACACTCACACACACACACACCCACTGGGTTTAGCTCAGACTGTCATTTCCTTGCCTTGATCTCTAAAGGAAGAGATTTTTTTTAATCTCAAAAGCAAATAAAAAAAAGCTGTCGATTTGCAGAATGGGGGGGGAGTGGGGAGAGTGGGGAGGGGAGTGGGGAGAGTGGGGAGAGGAGTGGGGAGAGGAGAGTGGGGAGAGTGGGGACTGACTGCAATCCTAAAGTCCTGAGGCTGTCCTCTGCAATCAAGTGGTGGGGAGAGAAAGGGACAGAGAGGGAGAGAGAGGAGAGAGAGAGGAAGGAGGGAGGTAGGGAGGGAGGGAGGGTGAAAGGAAAGGTAAGAGACTCCCCTAAACCCCCCCCCCCCCCCCAAGGGAAGGAAGAAGTCGAGATGAAATGCAACGAGCCACAGATCAGACCTACCTACCTGGGTGCAACATACTTTGGAAATAAAAGATGACCAGCACAAAGGATCCCAGACAAGTGGCCAGGACCATGCGGCAGATCCTACTCATCCTCATGACTTCCAGGAGCCCCTGTTTCATGGCTCTCTCTCTCTCTCTCTCTCTGTCTGTCTGTGTGTGTGTATGTGTGTGTGAGAGAGAGAGAGAGTGTTCTCACTGTGTGATGGCTGTTGTGATGCTGATGCTGAGTGCAGACACCACCACCAACTGTACTGACCCCCACAGAGGCGGGTCTCTGCACAACTCAGGCACAGCCACCACCCCTGGTCCTAGCGCTCCTCAATTTTTTTTTGCTCTCTCTCTCTCTTTCTCTCTCTCTCTCTCTCTCTCTCTCTTTCAAGCACCCTCCCCCCCCCCCCCCCCTCACCTGCTTTAATTAAACGCCCCTCATTTTATTGCACTCCCTGTTCACTTTGTGCCCTCGGCGTAAAACGTAAAAAAAAAAACAACACCACCGACTCATGATACTAATTTGGTCACTTCGAGGCGCGCGCCACTGTTTGCGGGGACGCTCCCCCCCACCCCCCACCCCCACACCCCCTCTCCCTCCCTCCTCCACCCCCACCCCCCCCCCCCCCCCCCCACCTGGGGCGCAATTAGCTGTCGCTTTTCGCCCGCGCAAATATGCAGTCAATTCACTTTACGGGTGTATATTGTGACGCGCTTTGAAAGCGCTCGAAAGTCATAAGGCGAACAGAGCAGCTGAGGGTTTCGGCAGAGACTGTGAAGAGTTGAGAATTGAGAATTTTTTTGGACCTTTACATTGATGGATTGTTTTCAAACAGCCGTCTTTTGTCTCTGTTCCTTGTACCTTATTTGAGTCCAACACGTTTTTCTGCACCAAGCAGTTAGATGTATACAAATGACAGCACGCGTGCACATGCGTGGCACACACAAACATGGACAAGGCACAAAAGGGTTGTCATCCCTCCCCCCACCCCCCATACTCCATAAAAGTCTGCGCTTTAAGGAGAGACAACGAGAAAATTGGGGAAATTACTTTCGAAAACAATACATTTCTTTATTTTCTGAAATCAGAAAGAATGACTGCTTTCTTGGTTAATGAATTGTTTAGAGTTTGCATTCACCCATTCCCTTTCTCCATAGCTGCAGATGAACATCTTCCATGATGCGAGTGTGTGGTGCAACCGGCATGTAATGGCTGTGTGTGATCAGCTGAATACAGTGGAAAGCATAACATTACTCGGGCGCTACATTTACACTTTGTGTGATCTTCAAGGAGAGTGCAGACATGAGAAATGATTGCATGTGCGCATGTGGACAATCTGTCCTAGGCACTGAAAGAAAAAAGAAGCTTGAATTTGTACAGTGTCTTGTTACTTAAAAACGTCGCAGAGCACTTTACAGCAGTTACCGGTAGGTGTAGTAACTGCTTTATTTTCCTGTAGGCAAGTGAAGCAATCATTTCAAAGTTCCACATATAGCATCGACAGAACAATGGAGTATTATTGTTGGCTTGGACGCCAGGGCTAACTCTATTCTGATTATGATCTTTTTGATCAGCCGGGTTGTCTGACACATACGGAAACCCATCACCACGCTTAAGAGTATCCAAACCAAACTGAGAATTCCATACATCCCACCTACACATGGAGGTTTCAGAGATAGATAGATGCACACTCTCTCCCTGGAAGGAACGCATCCTGCTTACCTAATTGCGGAAAGTATTAGGCACAGGTTGGCAAGAGCCAAGGCTTGGGGACCCCAGAGTGTGCATTGAGGTAATTGGATTGAGTCTAACCAGCTAAAGCCACATAGCTTGCCATTGATGGCACTGCCTGGCGAGCTTTTTCCAGCTGGGACCCTCACACCCGTTAGGGATTTGACTTGCAGGGTTAACAGAGGCTAAGTGGGAGGATTCCCTCGCCCCAGAATCCTCCCATTCTCATTTTGAAATTGTCATGGAATCTTTAACATTCACCTGAAGAGCATTTTTTTCTCTCTGTCAGTTGTAGCTGATCAATTCCCTTCAAATGGACACCCTTTGTACAGAATATAAGCTCGTGATTCTAGAATAAATTGTGTCCCATTCATATTTCCACTGCTCACCAGCCTGAATGGTCAGTTCATCACATGACAATCACTGTTCATGCACTGAGCACACTAGTGCAAACAAAGTGCTTCAATTTTGTTGCAGTGGCAGAGAGAGTAATTAAGTGCCTGAGGTACCAATATCAAAGATTGCCTTTGTACCCAGGTCTCTGTAAAGAGGCTCATTTATATGACTGCTTTAAGTCTGTTTAGGCCAGGGTGATCGGTCTTTGTTAACACAATGGTGTGAAATGGTTTGTCAGAAGATATATTTCATGGATCAGTACCTACCAGTCACTACATTTGACAGCAATTACCTGCAATGAGCTTTTAGACGTCTCAAAATTATAGATGCCATGTGAAATGAAAGGTTTTTTAAAGAGGATATAAGCAATCTGATTACATTTTAGTGATATTTGGAGAATATTTATTTGAAGAATTGTTTCATATTTTTAAATCACATTATTGTATTAAAAAGGGTGACTGAAATATGTTAAGTAGTGATATGTTAGGACGTCCTCCCGACGTGAAAGGGGCTATACAAATGTAATCTTGTTGTTGTTGTTGTTAGGATATGGAGCTGTTCACATATAACTTTTATATTGTCTGCATATTGTGTTTGGTTTTTTGATGAAATCTGGTTGTCAGTCATATTTTTATAACAGGAGGAGATGGAATTAACAGAAAAAAGAGCCACAAGGCAACCATCAGAGAGGAGGAACTACATCTGTACATAAGCAAGGAGAATGAGCGAACACGTACACAAAGAGAAAAAGAGACACACAAAGGGAGAGACACAGACACAGAGAAAATTAAAGAGGAGAGGGTTGCAGACAGATACAAAGTGACATACAATGTGTAGGGTGGAGAGAGGCATACGTAGAAATACTGTGAAAGCAAAACTACACACACGGTCAAGAGAGAAAAGACGTACTCACAGAAGAAGAGAGACAGAGACATAGAAAAGAAAACCCACAGGGGAAATAAGACAGTTAAAGAGATAGCGTCAAAAGGGCAGAAAGAAAGGATAGAGATTTATAACACCCTATTTGGTGAGCCACATGGGGAGGGGAGAAGTGATCTAAATTTTCTGTTCATTTTAAGTGAATGCGGAAATGGGCTTCTGAGAGTCACTTCCCTAATGCTGACATTACATTAGACATAAATGCTGCAATACTGAGCTGCAACTGTCGCTTATGTCATCACATCACGTTCTTTGCCAACAATTTCATAAATCCTACACCTTCTTTCATAAGGCCAGTTACTCTTTAGTGATCTCAATAACGAATATATTGCTGTAGGCTTTACAAACTGGTTATCGCACTATTTATGTGGAGCCAAATTGCAAAGCCACCTATTTTGAATGAAGAAGGCTCTACTATCCCAACTTTTCTATAATAATAATCCTTGCATTTGATATAGCGCCTTATCACGCATTGAGACATCTCAAAGCGCTTCACGGAATATACTGTGAAGCAAATCAACTGTATACTATGTGGATGATTCAAAAATAAAATATTCACTTTATTTTTTCCTTATCTTTTTCACTCCACATTATTTCTTCACAGCTATATTGCCTGGAGGACAGTTCAGCTGTGATCATCATCTTGTGTACCAGCTACAAATGCTCCTCGGAAAATCTGAGGAGAAAGGAGGCTTTTAATAACAATGCAAAATAAGGGACAGCTTCTGTGACCAGTTTTCCCACACCACACAGCTGCCCTGGCTAACTCAGTCCTAATTGGAAGACAGCATGCGAATAACAGTCCACACATTGGTGTCTGAGGGTTTGCGCATTGGTGTCTAAGCTGATCCTCCAGTACTCTTGTGGCTGGATCACCCTAGGGACTCATTTGTAAAGGTCACGAACTCCTTGTAAAATAGGTATAAGTTACTCATGATGGAAAGACATCAATATAGAAACCGAAATAGCATCTGAAAAGCATAAGCCATTTACCAGATTTAGTCACTGTTACATTCGTCACACCTCAAAGTTTGTTCTTCACTTAATATCTCCATTCCACTGAATATCAATTTATTGATAAGTGTGAATTCAGCCCCGTTTCATTTTCATACCCCAGTTTTATATCAGTTTTATTTCAGTGAAATTAATTTTATTTTTAAATGTGTGTCAGTCTGCATGTATTTTTGGTATAGATTGTGCACATGTTATTTCATAAACAGTAACATTAAAAATTCAAAGTAACAACAGCTCTAAACTTACACGAACAGCATGAATTCATAAACTACAGGAAGAGCTCCATCTATTGAATAGAACTGGTAATGTGAGAAAGCCTCACCAAAGTAAAAATAACAGTGAATCGTGTCAGCTTTGTAATCCAGAATACAGTTAGACCTTTATTTACATGGTGTTGTACTGTTTTCAAGACTTTCAACTACAAGAATGCACGTACAATTGAGCTGACTTTTCATCAGATGTAGTGGCTAATTTTTGCTTTGCATTTTACTTTTAAAAATACCTTAAGAATTGTGCGATAGCGATATAACATCCTTAAGCATAGAATGGTGGATAGCTAACTACTGCACTTAAATTGACCTTCACATGATTGCTCTACAAATCTACATCAAGCAACTTCGGAATTATACTCAAGCAGCTACTTTATACAGCGTGTCAGGATTGTAATCAAGAATACAGTCAGTCCCTCATTACATAGTTCTCTGATGTAGAACAACCTCTCATATATAACAATTAGTTTTGGTTCCCTCACTAATAGAGAACTCAAATTAATACCCTTCCTTCATAAGCCACTCCAGCCTTAATAGCATTCTTTTATGCTGCTCCCAAATACAACATTGCAAAGAGAATCTGAGATGAATACAACTGTGCGCTTTATAAATTGATCACTGAAATTGGTTGCTGTTTAAACGACTGGAATATATCATAGCTGAAGCCTTTTGAGCGCTGAACTTCACAAAGAACATTTATTAATGATCACGTGCTTCTCATTACACGGACTCTGGCTGGCCCAGCTTTTGTCATGTCCCCTGCTGTTTCTGGCATGTGGTGTTTGCTGCAGTGAGGAATGTTTGAAGGCAGGAAGGAGCCTCCAGCTATTCCCACCAAGGAGAACACATCTCATGTAGGAGACGTTGGTTGATTCAGAGAACTAATTGTGATTGCCTCAATTGTTTTGA